GCGAACGCACTCGGCGGCTGCTCGCCATGGACAGGACCCAGCGCTCCAAGTTCTGCCTCGTCCTCCTGCTGCTCGCGGTGCTGCCTGACTGTGCGCGGGGGACGCCCTGCGCCTGGGGGCGCGGAGGTGAGTTCCTATGGGGTCTCAGCGGCGGGCGCGGGGAGGGGGGAGGGAGGCAGCAGAGGCTTTAAACTCGCGGGCAGAGCCCATGGCCGGTCCAGAACCTTCCTCCTCCGTCCCCTCCACGGTCTCAGTCCCACCTCGGCGTCCGGGCAGCTGGTTGCCTCCCGGGCAGAAGGGACCGGAAGAGGCGGCGGGAGAGAAGGTGATGCGGAGCCGCTGGCCGGGAGCCAAGGAGGAAAGGGCGCTGCGGTTCCCAGTCCGCTCTCCCGCCCGCCCCGGTCGTGCTTCTGGGGAACTGGGACCCCTGTCCCGGGACCCGGGCGTTTCTCAGACTCGGGACCCACAGACAGGAACCCCCCTTCCCACAGCACGTTCACCCAGCCCCGCATCACGGCACTCTGTCCACCTGTGAACTTTCCGGGCGCTCTGCTAGCAGTTTCCGGCTGCACACTAGTCACCGGCCACCTCTCCTCTGGAGCCTGTGCTCTGCAGGTCCTACCTCCCCCCACTCTGCACCAGCCTGTCCCACTCCTGTTCCCTCGGGAGCCCCTGCTCCCCTCCCCAGCCCACCCAGGTTTATTACCCAATTCTCTGGGGTCCCCAAAACCAGTGCTTCCAATACCTTTTTATCTGTGACGTGAGCCTGATCACTCCTCAGCCAAGTGGCACTTTGCCTGAGGACATACCAGCCATAGCCTCAGCTCCTGGAGCAGGAGGGACAGCAGAGCATTGTTCCAAGTATGACCCTGGGTGCTCCTAACATAGAGCACCTAGACCTGTGATTTATTATGTTGACATGCCCATCCCCAAGACTACTGGAAGCCATTTTGGGGAACACCAACTCCACCCACATTCCTGATCTTCAGCTAAAGTCATCAGTGAGCTTTTGAGAATTCTGCCGCTCTTCTCATCCATGCTTTCCTCATCAGCATGATAAACAAGAGTTTAGCTTTAGGCTTTCCCAGGGAGCATGACTGATTGGACACTTTTCTGCCTTTTCATGTTGTCTCCCCCTGGCATAGTCACTTCTGTGAGCCATTTGGTCCCTCCCTCTCCTATGTGCCTCAGAAGTTCTGCCTTTTCTGTTCAACGCATTGTAGCCATGCCTTCTCCCAAGCTTGCAAGATCTATCCTAGCAGCAAGTTAGCACTGCCTTCCTGGGCCATGTAATATCCCATGACCCAAAATTGTAAAGTCTCCCTTCTCCAACCTTGGAATGAATCCACATTCATCCACCTGCCACCCAGCTTCCCCAGCAGCTGCCCCTACATGCTCTTCATGTCACTGGAGGGTACTGTGCTAGTTTCTGACAATCCTCGGGCATCTAGAACTATCCTCTTAGCCACCTGGCATGTCCCCGCATTGGTTATGTTGTTATGATCAGAATTCTCTTGGGAAAAGCAGGGAGGACGTATCTGGAGATGTGGGTTTCCTGGCAGGCAGACGCCTCCTGGACCTCCTCAAGCAAGAGGGGCACCAACCTTCCCCTGGTGAAGGGAGGCACTGGGCAGGGTCAGGGCTGCTCTGCCAGCCCAGCCATCATGGGGATGGTCCTGCTGTCACAGAGATGGGGGAGTGGGTGTTTGGGGTCTTTTTCTTCCAACCCCAATCCTCAGCAGCATTTTTCGTTCACAGATTCTCACACTCTTCGCTATAATTTCAACATTTCCTCTCATAAACAACCATGGTGCATGGTCCAAGGACAGATGGATGGAGAGAAGTTTCCCTTATATGACTGTGGCAGCAAAGAGGTCATATCTATGAATCTCCTGAGGGAGGAGGGAAAGGCCATGGATTCCTGTAAAGAAGAGTTAGGTACCCTGAGTGACATGGGAAATGAATTAAAACCATTGCTGCCTGACATTAAACAGGAGAAAGACACAGATGGAGGTAAGTTTGAAAAACCAAGGGCAGAAGTGAGCAGAGTGTGGGGCCAGCTATGTGGATTGTATTCATTTAAAAAGAAAACTGGATGCTGGGCCTTCCCACGTAGCCCAGCAGAAAGGTCGGGGAGAGCAGGGCAGGGTTAGAAGTGTTCAGAAGAGGTGGACGCCAGGTGGGTGAAGCATTTGTCAAGACCAGAGGCTGATGTCTTTCCCATGGGGACTGTGGGGCAGCTCCTCTCCCCCTGCAGGTCAGGATGACGTGCCTGTGCAAAGCCGATGGAAGCACCAGTGGATCCTTGGAGTTTTCCTTGGGTGGAGAGAGGTTCCTTACCTTTGACTCTGAGACAGAAGAGTACAGAGCGGATAATTCCCTAGGTGAACGGCTGAAAAAGAAGTGGGAGAATGATAAGGAATTGAAGAAATTCTTCAAAATGACCTTAAAGGGAGACTGCAAGGAATTGCTTCAATGCTCGGTGCACTGGAAGAAAGAGGTGGCGACAACAGGTAACAGGGGAGACAGGGA